AATTCAAGAATGATTTAAAGTCTTAAAACAATTAATATATTATATTTGTATACGTTTAAATAGTTAATATAATTTTTAAATTAAGACTCTAATATATTTTAAAATTAAACATTAAACTTGTAGAGTGATTTAAAAAAGTAATTTTTAATTATGAATTATTAATTTTAAATATCTTCTACGACATTTCTTTTAATATCTAATCTTCAAAAGTATATTTAAATTATATATTCAAACGGATTTAACTTTACTCTGTGATAAAACTGTATAAATTTTTGAATTGTTCCGTTAATATTAAAATTACCAAAAATATTTAATAGTATAATTTCAGCCGAGAATTAACAGATAATTCCATTTAGTTTAAATAAAAGAAAATTAGATCATTAATATTTATTAAATGAATTATACTTACAATACACAGTTAAAGTAACTGACGTCTGTAAGGCTTGAGTAATGGCAGGACTGAGTGCTTTGCAAGTATAGGTAATTCCGTTATCGCTGGCATCAACGTGGAAAACCAACTCACTGGAGACTCCACTTCCCGAAACAGACACAGGAGCACTCACCTGAAAAATAAAATGTGACTTAGGAACAAAGGGGATTATTGTTGTTCTTGCTATTTATTTGTGCTGTTACACAAAGGAGTTATATCCGATAAATTCGTGCAAATGACTGCCATTTCAACTGTTCGAAATAGTCAATAAAATATTTTTCCATCTTAAACTTTAATTAAAGTTAGCTGTACATGAAAAATATTTTGAAAATTCAAAAATAATTTTTAATAATAAGTCAAAAAGTTAAAACGAACATCTTTATATAAACAAAATATGTTATAAATTATATTTATATTTTAAATCTAACTTTTGTTGTAAGCTATGTATATATATATATATACAGTGGAGGCCTTAGGGGGTGGCGAGCAGGACAATGGCCCGGGGCCTCGCTCTTGGAGGGGCCTCGCGAAACAACCAAGTAGAAAAAAGTTGATATTTAAAACTTTTTATTTTATCCTTGGCTATTAGTTATAACAATAAAAGAAATTTAATTTACAATACAGTATATATTAATATTAATAAGTGCCTACTATTTCAATTCACATACTTTGCACAAAGGACAAGGGCCTCGCAAAGATCTGCTGCCCAGGGCCTCGCAAAGATCTGCCGCCCAGAGCCTCGCAATGGATAAGGCCGCCGCTGTATATATATATATACAAGTATATGTATGCATAACAGGAAACAGAGCTAAGCTAGCAACCTGTTTCATCCCAGTCAAAAATGTTAAAAAAAAAAACAAAAAGGTCATCCTCATTGAAAAATGATCCATAGATAGACCATTTCTGGTACGGCGATCGAAGGAGACGAACGGATAGACAGGCTCGAAGAAGTGAACGAAGAATTTACACACACACACCCATATGTGTGTGTGTGTGTGTGTGTGTGTGTGTGTGTGTAAATTCTTCGTTCACTTCTTAAGTCTTATAAGTCTTTATATATGTATATACACACGGATATTATGAATATATATATTATATTAAAATTTTTGAAAAATATATCTAAAATAATATTAATATGTATGAAAAATTGGAATAAAAAGATAATTTTTAATGTTATAATTTAGCTAATGACAAATCTAAATTATTAAAATTTCAAAAAAATTATTTTTTTGTACAGACATTAAAAATCTAATATATAAATTATTACAAGCAATATACTATGCACGAATATCACCTTACTTTTTAATAAAAATGATTTTTTTAAGTTACAAATATGAAATTTAACAAAAAATTTGAAATAAAAGATAACATTTTTATTACTACTTAAAAAAATTATCATTATTTTTTTCTGTTCTCTTAAATTTCGAGTTTTGGTTATCACTAGTAAAGCAAACTCAATATTCAATATTTTAAAGACAATAGCTTACTTAAAGGTTCAGGCTTAAAGGGAAGAAAACAGAAAGAAAACAAGGAAGCTAAAAGCAAGAAGAGAGTACCAGGAGTGACCTTGACAGACAAAGAGAAAGGACAGAAACATAAAGCGGCGCACCCACCTGTTTACAATGAAGTAGAAATCAATATAAACCTAGAGTTCTCAAGAAAGTGAAGAACAAAAATTCCTGAAGAGAGGGGACAAGTTGCTCAGTAGCAAAACAAATAACCTGACAATTTGAAGCATAGCAAGCGCAAATGCTTACGTAAAATTGACTTGACAGGAACAACTTGTTCAACGCGACAAAAAAGAAAAAAACAAAAATTTTATACGTGGATCAACTTGATTCCAAAAATAGTATAAAAAGGATAGAAGCCATAAAACAAATGTAAAATCTAAATACAAACTATAAGCGTGTGGAAAAGAACAGCTACTTTAAGAAATCTGGTGAAAGCTCGGCTATAGAGTTTTACCAACAACAAATTCCTTCAAGCTTCCAAGATTTTTTGTCTTTAATGTTAACTTTTTTAGTGTCTTTGTCCAGTGCATGCCAAGTTTCATGAGTTTCTGTAGTATAAACAATCTTTTGTTGTCAAATAGTAAACAATCATAAATAAGGTGCTTAGGAGATTGATCTCCACATAGAGAACATTAGCACTGTGAGTCATCAGAATGTCCGAATCTATGTAGCCTAGGTATGCTTTAAAATTTTCATAGCCGGTAAGAAACTAGCTAACATATAAGTCAAAAAACAAAGACTCTAAACTTAAAAACTTATAGGTCTCAGGAAAGGATTTTATTTTCAAGAATCCGTTAGACATATATTTAATTTTAGATAAAATATTAAATAACAATGTATTAAAAAATATCCTGCACAATCCCGCTTTTGTTACATTATTGTAAAGCTTTAGGCTAATTATGGAACTTCTTTTACGAAAACCGTTTTTTCAGTTTTAGAATACATTAATTTTATAACAGGTTTCTATATTTTTGAATCGAATGCTTTTATAATAATTTCCAAGTCAATATAAAATTAAAAAGATAAAAAGAGATAAAACTCCTATTTTACACTTTTAAATCATATTTCTATACAATATGGAGTACATTATCTTATAAGAAAAATATATAATGTAAAATTTATAACTTTGCAGCTATTCTAACTATTGTTACATGTTTTGAGTATATTTAAGAAATTTTGGACTTATTGTTATCTTTTATTTCATATTGATATATTCTTTTATCGATATAATAATAGTCATGGTATACAGTGAAGTAAATAGATTGGAAGTTGTTGAATATTTTCTATTCTTGGTTGAAAGTATTTTCCAGAAAAGAGTTGATTTTTCAAAAGTAAAGATATGGAAAGACGATTATTTTCATCTTAAGTCTACTGAATTTTATTTTCAATGTTTTTTTCAAAATAATTGTATTTGAATCCAGCAATTCATTTATAATTCGAAAAATATTTTCTTAAACTTTCATGAATCTTCATGTATTTTTTTCTTTTTGCATTATTCTCAACTGAGAAGTTACATATAATGAGAATAATCTTCATACATATCGATAGGAAAATTATTTTTATTCTGAAATTTTCATCATAATAATTATTATTTTGTTACTTTCAATTTTAAATTATCGCAATAATTTTCCAATAGGAAAATATTTAACTTTTCATTTTTTTAACATGTAAAATATGTATTAAAAATATTCTCGTATAGTAATTTTCAGAATAGCATAGCAATGTAAAAATAATTAATAATTAAAAAGAAATAATAAACACAATTTTTATTTATTACTTAAATATAATTAACTAATTTGTAAATTTATATTACTATCAAAACTTTTATATTTATTTTCATCTATTTAAATATGTAGATTCATAAACTGAAAATAAATTGCTTGGAAAAACTTCCGCAAATATTTTGAATTCTCGAAATGTGAACAAAGTTAAAAGACATTCTATCGATTCTTACCTCTCTATCCTCTTTGTACCATTTTAAGTTTGCTGGAGGATTACCACCGAGAGCTACACATGTTAAATGTTGAAGATCACCCTCTCTAAGTATACTTATTTCATCATAACCAAGTATAGTCGGGGATTCTGGAGGATCTGAAATTTGACAAAAAAATATTAGTTGATTTAGCAGTGACAGGCATTCGTATTGTTCTGTCATTAAAATATTTAATATATCCTTATATTTTTCTATTTTCAACTAGTAATTGTTCCTAACATTTATTTTCGTTACGCTAAATTAAACGCAGAAATAAAAGTTAAAATGATTTAAAACATCGTATAATTCATTCTTTTTATCTTTGAAATAGATTAATTTAAGAATATATTATGTGAAATATTTTTTATTAAGATCATATGATGTAATATTCAATATTTTAAAGACAATAGCTTACTTAAAGGTTCAGGCTTAAAGGGAAGAAAACAGAAAGAAAACAAGGAAGCTAAAAGCAAGAAGAGAGTACCAGGAGTGACCTTGACAGACAAAGAGAAAGGACAGAAACATAAAGCGGCGCACCCACCTGTTTACAATGAAGTAGAAATCAATATAAACCTAGAGTTCTCAAGAAAGTGAAGAACAAAAATTCCTGAAGAGAGGGGACAAGTTGCTCAGTAGCAAAACAAATAACCTGACAATTTGAAGCATAGCAAGCGCAAATGCTTACGTAAAATTGACTTGACAGGAACAACTTGTTCAACGCGACAAAAAAGAAAAAAACAAAAATTTTATACGTGGATCAACTTGATTCCAAAAATAGTATAAAAAGGATAGAAGCCATAAAACAAATGTAAAATCTAAATACAAACTATAAGCGTGTGGAAAAGAACAGCTACTTTAAGAAATCTGGTAAAAGCTCGGCTATAGAGTTTTACCAACAACAAATTCCTTCAAGCTTCCAAGATTTTTTGTCTTTAATGTTAACTTTTTTAGTGTCTTTGTCCAGTGCATGCCAAGTTTCATGAGTTTCTGTAGTATAAACAATCTTTTGTTGTCAAATAGTAAACAATCATAAATAAGGTGCTTAGGAGATTGATCTCCACATAGAGAACATTAGCACTGTGAGTCATCAGAATGTCCGAATCTATGTAGCCTAGGTATGCTTTAAAATTTTCATAGCCGGTAAGAAACTAGCTAACATATAAGTCAAAAAACAAAGACTCTAAACTTAAAAACTTATAGGTCTCAGGAAAGGATTTTATTTTCAAGAATCCGTTAGACATATATTTAATTTTAGATAAAATATTAAATAACAATGTATTAAAAAATATCCTGCACAATCCCGCTTTTGTTACATTATTGTAAAGCTTTAGGCTAATTATGGAACTTCTTTTACGAAAACCGTTTTTTCAGTTTTAGAATACATTAATTTTATAACAGGTTTCTATATTTTTGAATCGAATGCTTTTATAATAATTTCCAAGTCAATATAAAATTAAAAAGATAAAAAGAGATAAAACTCCTATTTTACACTTTTAAATCATATTTCTATACAATATGGAGTACATTATCTTATAAGAAAAATATATAATGTAAAATTTATAACTTTGCAGCTATTCTAACTATTGTTACATGTTTTGAGTATATTTAAGAAATTTTGGACTTATTGTTATCTTTTATTTCATATTGATATATTCTTTTATCGATATAATAATAGTCATGGTATACAGTGAAGTAAATAGATTGGAAGTTGTTGAATATTTTCTATTCTTGGTTGAAAGTATTTTCCAGAAAAGAGTTGATTTTTCAAAAGTAAAGATATGGAAAGACGATTATTTTCATCTTAAGTCTACTGAATTTTATTTTCAATGTTTTTTTCAAAATAATTGTATTTGAATCCAGCAATTCATTTATAATTCGAAAAATATTTTCTTAAACTTTCATGAATCTTCATGTATTTTTTTCTTTTTGCATTATTCTCAACTGAGAAGTTACATATAATGAGAATAATCTTCATACATATCGATAGGAAAATTATTTTTATTCTGAAATTTTCATCATAATAATTATTATTTTGTTACTTTCAATTTTAAATTATCGCAATAATTTTCCAATAGGAAAATATTTAACTTTTCATTTTTTTAACATGTAAAATATGTATTAAAAATATTCTCGTATAGTAATTTTCAGAATAGCATAGCAATGTAAAAATAATTAATAATTAAAAAGAAATAATAAACACAATTTTTATTTATTACTTAAATATAATTAACTAATTTGTAAATTTATATTACTATCAAAACTTTTATATTTATTTTCATCTATTTAAATATGTAGATTCATAAACTGAAAATAAATTGCTTGGAAAAACTTCCGCAAATATTTTGAATTCTCGAAATGTGAACAAAGTTAAAAGACATTCTATCGATTCTTACCTCTCTATCCTCTTTGTACCATTTTAAGTTTGCTGGAGGATTACCACCGAGAGCTACACATGTTAAATGTTGAAGATCACCCTCTCTAAGTATACTTATTTCATCATAACCAAGTATAGTCGGGGATTCTGGAGGATCTGAAATTTGACAAAAAAATATTAGTTGATTTAGCAGTGACAGGCATTCGTATTGTTCTGTCATTAAAATATTTAATATATCCTTATATTTTTCTATTTTCAACTAGTAATTGTTCCTANATATATTTAATATAGTTAATTTTCTAGTCCTGATTAGGTTTAATACTGTTTAAGCAAAATGTATGAGCGTTATCTTGCATTATAAATGTAAATAATTAATAGGTACAATTTTTAAAGCTTAAAATAAGAATTTAAAGACGGAGAAATTGTAAATTTAAAGTACAGAAATGCTTCTATATTGGAAACTTTTCATTTATATTAATTAACAGATGAGAAGCATCTATACAACTAAAGCATACTTGTAAGTGTGTCGTATTTAAATATATATTTCTTATTAAAAATTTTACATTTAAAACTATAAATTTATTTCTAATAAAAATAATAATTGTAATATTCATAATTACACGAATGAACGCAATAAATCTATTCTTTAACAAACTAGCCTATCTAGAATTTGCATAAAATTATTTCCATCTATATTCTAACTTTAAATGGAATCTTCATAATGCTATTTCTTATATTATAGAATTATGAAAAAAAGTTTTTTTTGCCAATTATATAATTTTTACTTTTATTTACACATATTTGCATTTATATACATTATTTTACTTTTATCAACAAATCAATTATTTAAAATTCATATTTAGTACTATATTATAGAATTAGTGTAATTTTAATTCAGTAATCACAAAGATTTAAATCTCTTTAAATTTACTGTATTTTAGAATATATTTAAATTGCCATGTTTTTTTATATGAATTTATAAATCTTTAAAAACCTTCAAATTCAATATTTATGCAATATAATCATCTATAGTTGATTAAATATTTAAAAATCAATTATAATTTTTACATATAAGAAAATTAATAATTTAGCTTACTATTTTTTGAAAATGTAGCAATTTTTAACTATCATTTCGAATAGAAAAAAACCTCAATATAAATAAAAAAATAATAACGTACTTACATAGTGATAGCGTTTTTCATGTAAAAAAGGTGGAAAATTCAGTTTGATTTATCTATTTTTAGTTTCGTATATTTAAACAAAAATATATTCTATACGCATGTCTTATATTTTGCATAAAATATGCACACCACCAACTACCCTGATATACGAAATTTATATACAACTTTAATAGAATAAACTTAGGTCATACTAATAAATTTATCAATACTTTCATTCTCGTATTCGCTTTTGAAAAAATATATCATTTTTGGAATTGATAATTTGAAATTTTATGCATCATATATCATTTCTTTTGTCACAAACTAAAAAATTTTCGGACGTTATCTAATATATAAGTGTCAGAAATTTGCTTAAAGTAAAAATATTGATTAAATTTTAAAGTAAACATGAACGAGAGTTGACTTATTTATATTTATTTTTTCTTTAATATATCAATTCTACAAATTACTGTATTGAAAAATAGATCGTAATAGATAAATAAAAGAAATTTTAATATCCAAATTTTAAATTATATATTAAATTTAAAATTTAATATATTTTTATATTACGATTATATTTATACACATAGTCTATATACGTCTATATAATGTACAGTATTACTTGTAAATTGAATTTTTAAATTCTCGTAGAGTACTAATATATATGAATTACTAAACGTATAATTTTGCATTGCTAGCTTCATTTTTATCACTAAGATTTTCAAACTCTCAAACTCAAATTTATACGTTGATTTAATAAGAATTATAAATAATATCAGTCTGTAGATTAACGCCGCACTCAATTTAATATTTGCTAATAATAATATATAATATACATAAATAATAATATGCTAATTTCAGAGAAAACTTATTGGATCTAAATCAAGTTTCACTACACATTTTAAACATAATTTAGACTAATTTTTATATCATAATTATTAGTTAAACATCTTTTCGTAAGAACTAAGCATCGATGATTAGAAAAATATGCTTAATAATCACAATTTGACTTTTAAAAATATTAAATTGGTGTTAATTAAAAATTATAAGAATCTTTTAAAATATTTAATTCATTAAACAACTTTTTAAAATCATTATGTTCAATCTGAATTTAAGTTTCGTTGTTCTAATTTAATTACATGTCTTGTTACGCTTGTTATATATAATCAAGTTACGATAATTGCCAAGATCATTAATAAATGACCTTGTCATTAAAGCATTACGTATTAAAGATTATATAACAACTTACATTTGATAACAACTGTATGTGTCTTAGCAATAGGAGCTCGTAGAGGTATGGCAGAAGCATAGCAGGATATAATTTTCGTCGTGATATCCTAGATTTTATAAATACAAGTTATAAAATTTATTTAAATAACAGTAAATTTAAAACATAATTTGCTTTCTATTATACTTCATTTCAACTTATCACGATATATAAACATTTAGAAGCATGAAAGATTATTATATTCTAAAAATTCTAAATTAAATTCTGTATAGTATATATATATATATATACTATACTATACAGAATTTTAATTTAGAATTTTTTATATTCCTAATAAAAGTAATGTGTCGTATACAAGTATATTGTTTACAGAAAACTAAAAGGTATAATATAGAGAAAGATTATTCGTGACGTACAGTGCATCGTGAGATTATTTACATACGTTAATTAGAAAACATTGATGGTACTTAAAACATAACAAAGGAATAAACAAAATGAGTTTTTGACATATTTTAAGAGTGATTTTCTTGGTTTAATTAGCTCTAACGGCAGCTAACTAAACTAAGACATTCTATATTCTATAATGAATACTTTATATAATTTATTATTTAATTTTATTAAATAATAAAAATATATCAAAGAAAAAAATCTTATTATATAAAACTATCCGAAACTAAAAATCATAAATTATTTATATAGATATTATGCTATAAAATATAGAAATGTACACAATATTTATAGATTGTATATTATCTCTAATTAAAAATAAACTAATCAGGAAAAAATACATTATTAAGATAATTCATCAATTTTTATTGTGAATATTTATTAATATGTATAAAAATATTAACCGCAAATCTCAGTGTTGTGAAATTTCATAAATCAAATCAACAGAACTTACTATATATTTCAATTATTAATGCATGTAATAACATTTAAAAAATTATAGTAATAAAATCACATATAAAACTTTATGTAAATCAGTCTAATTTAATATTAAATTTAAAAATATTAGGTAAAAATTTTGGAATAACAAAAAATTATTAACCCAAAATTTAAAAATTAATAAAAGACGTGTTTTAGTGTATATTTGTTTAAAATCTATATTAGGTTAGTTAAAAGTAGTTGGAAGTTGGTAGTTACAACTGGAAATAGGTTGTCAACTTTCAGAGTGAAAAACACAATGTGGAAAAAAAATACAACCTTGAAAAATATTTTGAAAAACTTGATTTAAATAAGAGAAAGAAAACCTACAATCTTAGAAACAATTCCTCCTTTCCTTGATGATAATGATGATGATGTGAGCCTGACGGCGATTGGTAACGGATAAAACAGACCCACTTAGTGTCCACGGGGCGGGAATAGACATGAGAAAGAAAATAATTCAGATTACAATTAGTGTTATCGACGTTCCACGAGCTAAAACGACAATTTGAAATAAAAAATCAATTTTTCAGAATATTTCCAAACAGTTTTCGCTTTCCAAATACTGTAATTTAAAAAAAAGTTACTGAATATAGTCTAATTACTTTCCGTACAATTCGGAATATTCCGAATATTTGGAAACCCTAACTGGAAATTGTAGTATATGTTTTGAAAGCTGTTCTTATAGTCTCGAGAGATCATATTTTCAATTGGTTGAAAATATTATCTCACGAAACTTTAAAATTTTTAATATTTCATCTCTGTCATTTTCTATATTTGAAAGGTAATTGCCTTTGTTTATTGGAACTTTATTTTCTGTCAGCTCACAATATTTTACTACATACTAACATTTTACTCTGTATAAATTTAATTCAATTATAAACTATTATTAAGTAGAGTACATGTAGCCCAAAAATCAATTAAGATTTTTACAAATAGAATCATTCAACTAAATTATCAAAGTTTGATAAAAATTGCCAAGACAATTTAACTGTCCTGGCAATGTATTGTCTTTTTTCTTAAATTTATTTAAATTTTGTGCATTTTAAAAATTATTAAAGCTTTTTAAACATATAATAATTTAATTCGTTAGTGTCATAACTCATTCATACACAATAAATGACTTTTTTCGCAATTTTTTAATGTTTATAAATAATACATTAATTAAATAAAACAATTTAGTCTTTACAATGGATAATTTACTTTTGGGCCAACTGTATTATAAATTTTAAAATATATTAACATTTAACTTATATTACAGAAAATTCTTTATAAATTTCTTCGATACACTTTTAATTATTTCAAACTAATTTCAAATAGCTTTTCATAGCTTCTTCAAAAAAATAACTTTAATTATAAATATATATTTTTATTTAATTAGCAGAACAGGATATAATTGATTTTGTTATGCTTAGCATTATATTTCTAATAATTATTTTAGTAATTTGTAGCAAACTTTTCGAGAAAATGATAAAAGAAAGAGGAAATTAAAATGAATTAACGGGAAAAAGGAAATAAAACAATTAGTACAAATCTTGCGTACCTCTTCGCCTTGTAATTAACAACTTTAATTAAAAATACTGTTTATGAACAATTTGCTTAGAAAAAGTGGTGATAACTACTAATAGCACATCATATATAAGACGTGTTTATAAAAATAAGGCATGAACAAAGAGTTTTGGAAAATAATGAAGCAATGCAAATTAAATTATTTAAAATATCGAATGAAAATGAAAATATTTATTAATAAATTTAATTCTTTGATTTAAAAAAAAATTACTAAACAGCATTATAATTTTATAAAATATAATTTCAATCTGATATTATTAGGCTGCAATTTGAAAAAAATTGTAGATCTATAAATTCTTGCTGTCGTCCATTTGTGTGACTGTCATTCCTCAATTTCGAGAATGGAATTATATATATGAAATCTGAGACTAGATATGGAACTTTTAGAGGAAGAGGCCCGATTAACTGTATATCAGCTTTAATGCAGATAGGAAGTCATGTTCAAAAATATTTCCGTTTATAGAGTTAGATAGATGACGGAATGACTCTATTGCTAACAGGAAAAGTATTGTGTACATGGTCAAGACTACTAATTTGAAGTAGAGGACATATAATTTAAATTAAATTAATTTCAAAATATGACTTAAAATTGAGGCGTGACGATGTCACAATAAATAATTGTTCTTTAGAATACGAATAGTTATAATATAAATAAAAGTCATACAAAATGTTATACTGAAATATTATTATTATTACGTGTCTATTTATAATTTTATAATTCATAATTATAATAATCAAATCTGTATGTCTAAGAATCTTCTTTACAAAAATGTATAACTAACAACAAATTGAATAAACGTGTCTTAGTACAGCAAATAGATTAAAAGACTTTTTAAGGATTTGAATTGTTAAACTTATATAATTTGAAGGATGTACAGTACATTAAAAATGTTTTAATGTACTGTACATCCAATTAGAATGAAGTATATTTGTTAACGTACATCTTTCAACGAAAATATCAGAAGTCACGATAATTCTGCTTTTGGGAGACAAAATACAAAATATTTAGATCAATTAACCATCCAATTTATTTACTAAAATCACCTACCGTCATTAAATTTGCGACTAATTATACTATTTTCTTGTATTTTGCTTATTATTTTAAGTAATATATAGTCTCATGAAAATTTTAGTTACTTCAAGGTAACGCATATTAAAATAAATGTAGTCAGAAATATTTTGTTTAATAAAATTGTAATTCGAAGAAAAACGTGAGATAAATCTCAGCAAGGGCAACCGCTAACCTTGGTTCCTTGTGGGAGCTCTCGATATATTAGTAATACGTTGCTATTTTATATAACCCATATAAAATATTTTCCTTTAAAAACGTTTTTCTGTTACAAAATTAAAATGTAGAAACGATGCACCTGGAATTAATGAATCGTCACGAAATTTTCGAATAAGTGCGCGAAATAATCGAGGGAACAAATCCCAATAGTATTAGAAGCATTTTTCATACATTCTTTGTTTGCAAGTGTTATATACATTGCTTAAATTCTTTAATTAATATGTAAATTAATACAATAAATTCTCGTCAGTGTCAGCTTTTGTGGGACAACCTATAAGTGTTGACTTTAATTGACAGTTGACCTTAAAGTGTATTATATAATTTTCGTCTGTAAAGAAAATTAAACTATATAAATGTGATAACATTTCACTTACATTTCCTTATAACACTGCAATTCCCCTCCTATATGAAAGAGTATATCTTGTTGAGTGTGCTTCCAGAAGAAACTACTGCACAAGTTTTATTGAATTTACTGCAGTTTTCGTTTTCAGTAAGTATTTAAAAAATCACGGAAACATTGCCAGAATATTTATCACATTCATATAAAAAACAAGAAAGGCTCTCAAGTATAAAAAAAATTAAATTATAAATATTTGCTATGAAGGATTCACGTATTTTCATAAGTATGATTACGTCAATGTAATTTATGAATGTAGGTAAATGTGCTTCTAGAAATGAATCTTTAATTAATGTAAGGACATTTTAAATCATCCTATCGTTAGCCACTAATTTCACTATTATTTTCTTGATTCTCATAGCTTGTACAGTACATATTTGTTAAATTCGATTCCGACATTTTAAAAAGAAAATCCCCAAAATAAATGTACGATAAAAGAATAAATATTCATGTTGCCAGATGAAACTTTTTAAATGTCCTAAAAGCTTAGCTAAAACTCCTGAAAAAAGCAGGTAACTTTGTTGCTGGACTTTCCCGTTATCTTTATTTTCTTTTCATCCCTAATAATTAATACCATTACGTTTAGGTGTTCAGATTTATTTAAATTACTCATCCCTTCTCGTTTCGAGGTTAATATGTAGGTTATTGCGTATTCGCTTATCGTCCAAAGAGCCGGCAGAATTTTTTTGCTTAACCATACGAAATTACTTGTGAAGAGCCAGGGGAATGCCTTCCGGGAGATCTTTTAAGAGTAACTGGCTCCTATTTAGGTGTTAGAAACGTGGCCAGACTTTCTTGAAGAGGCGCAAACCCACGACCAAATTATCAGTGGAACGGAACCGCTTAGCCACTAGTTGGGCTTAAAATTACTCATACAACTGTTTACTTGTAAAATAGGGGTCATTTAACTATTTTAAAAATATTACTCTCC